CACACAAGCTTCAAGACCTCTTGTTCCAGTCCATTTTGACCGCATGCAACGAGTAATTAACCGTGCCCTGAGTGGCGACGAGAAAGCTCTAGCTTTGTTAGACATCGGGAAAACGAGGTGGTACCAAAAACTAAACCCATAACACGAGAAACATTGAGGAGTGAATTTAAATATGCAAGCACCCAGTATATTGCTGCTATGCACCTTAACCTCAAGAGTTTGGAAAGATTGGCAAAGAGGTATATTCTCCACCTATGTTGGATAAACAGGCACCGCTTTCAAGACAGTGCATTGACACAAGATATAACTGAAATAGATGAAATGGATATTTTGGAAGAAATGGCTATCCTGTGTACAGATTTGCCCCTTACCAGACACGGCAAAGATTTGTCAGATTCGGAGGAGGAAGATGCCCAGAAAAGAGAAAAGAGGCCAAGTTCAGTGTCTAACGCGAAGTCATCAAAAGCAGCCAAACGATCACATCACAAGAAGCAGTGCTGTCAAGTGCCTGGATGCAAATTTGAAGGTTACGATTTGAAAAGGCACATCCAGAGCCATGTAAGAAAAGGAGAGATCTCCCAGCAGAATGTAGGCAAATTGACCTCCATAATGTCCCGCGGCCAAAAACAAAGGGGAAGGTCAGCGCAGAGGAACAAAAGTGGACAGCCCAAAAAAGGGCGATTTAGGAAGTGGTGCCCAGTGCCAGGATGTGATAGAACAGTAGTGAATGTGGGAAGACACCTTTCTTCCAGCAAACAACACAACATCCAGAAAAATAGCTCACATTACGTGAGGTTGCTGAAAACGGCAAAGAGATACACAGGCACTGCAGAGCTGCAGGCATACCTTGCAACTTCCAATGAGAGCGCAGAATCAGAAGAAGAAGAAGACGACGAAGAAGAAGACCAGAAAGAAGAAGAAGAAGACCAGAAAGAAGAAGAATTCCAGATCGAAGAGGGGAGTGATAAAGGCAGCCAGTCAGGAGACAACATTGATGAAAACCAAGAAGCAGACGACGATGAGGACTTTGAAGAAGATGACAACGAGGACTCTGAAGAAAGCGATTATGAAGACTCTGAAAACGAAAAGGAGACCGCAGAAAAGTTCTTCACAGCAACTAAATTCAAGAATAATCGACATCAATGGTTAGTGGGATTCTACGACTATCTATCCCGACCGTCAGCTGGCCACAAAAAAAAAGGCATCAAACTTCAACATGCAGGCCAGATTAAAAATATCCTAGAGTTCATCGACAGCAAGGGTGATGACATTAAATGCTTGGCCAACGATGAAGGAGATGCTGTCTGGAAGAGATTTGTCGTTCCATCATTGGAGAGCCAAAGCAAGAAAAGTGGAACGATCATCTCCTATCTCACGAGCTTTGAGATGTTCCTCAAGTATGTTACCAACCCGAGGTACAATAGATCAGGACCTCCCCTTTACCAAGCCTACATAGATACCTTGGTGGCAGTCCTGCCAGAGATAAAAGGCTGGCGGTCTACCGTGGACTCTCAAAGCCAAGCTGAGAAAAACCAGCGATGGTTAGATGAAAGCGCAGGCTTGTTGACACCAGAAGAAATCACTGCTCTGAAAGAATCAAGACCCTACTCTGATGGCATTAAAGCAATTAATGAAGCTGGCCAGGGAAAAATACTTTCACAACAAGAATTTACCTCAGCGCGCGACGTTCTGCTTGTGCGATTTACCACAGACAACGCCACCAGACCCGGCCCACTAAACAACGCCAAACTCAGTGACTATGAAAAGGCAGAAACATCTGGCGGCAACAGAATCATGCTCATTCCAAAGCACAAGAGAGCAAAGGATGGGCCAGCTATACTTGGAATGAAGCCTGATCTCCAAGATCTTATGGAAATCTACGTGAACAAGATCAGGCCCCAAGTGGCAGAGAGAAACGAAGATCACTTGTTTGTCACTGTTGAAGGAAAAAAGTTTCCTGAGGGAACAATTGGAAGGAGAGTTCAATCTCTCTTTGAAAAAGCCAAAGTTCGAGATGGCAAGAGATTCGCACATGTGAGTGTAAGGAAGTTCGTCACTACAAAGACCAAGGAGAAGGGGACACAACAGGAGGCTGCCATAGTTCAGAGAGTCATGGCCCATTCCTCTGTAACAGCAGAGAGATCCTATGTGCGCACCAACCTCACTGAATTGGGTTCGAAGGCTCTACACATCATCGAGCGAGTCACTGGTGAAAATGAGAACAACAAAAAGGCTGAGTCAGAGGACAGCAGAGCCAAGAAACAGGACATCAATGCTACGACATCCACTCAAGAAAGATCCGTGACTGTTGAGACTGTAGCAGCCACGAAACCAACCGATGACTCACAGGACAGCGGAGGCCCAAAAGGAAATACAGCTGCTGCAACATCCACTTTGGGAAGAACTGTGAGTGTCGAGACCGCAGCAGCGCTAAAGCCAACCACATCATCTACAACTGAGCAAGAGCAAGACTCTGACTGCGAAGGTGACTGTCAAAAAGCTGAACAACCTTCAAACGCCGCTGAAACAGCATCGAGATCCAGCTATTCTGTGTCTCTACTATCAAGTGAAGTGCTGCCACCAACACCAGGCAGAGCCTTGACGGATAAGCAAAAGGAAGCCATAAAGAAAGTGTTTAACCGTGAGATAACTGCAGGGACAAAGGTTTCGAAGGCAACAGTTCAAAACAGGTGCTGCACCACACCTGTACTGGCAGTCCTGGCATCCTCACTAAAGAAAGTGAAACAGGTTGTGAACCACGTGAACTACATCATTGACAGTAGCCCAAAAAGTCTTCCCACAGAGTTACCAAAGCCAACCACCTCCAAAGTGCATGGGTGGTTAGACGAATTTGATGATCGCTCAACGAGATCGAGTGGCAAGAGGCAAGAGTGGGACGAGGCGGATACCACAGCACTAGAGAAAACTTTTAAAAAGTACCCTTCGTTGCCATCTACAGCCCAAATTAAAGGAATTCTCAGGGACCAAAGAAACCTCGCTGACATCTTGGATAGGGAAGGCTGGACAAGAGTTTACACTAAAATAAAAAACATTTTCAAAAAAAAAGCTAAAAAATAGACAGCATCAACAGCCCTGTAAATTCGTAAAAAAAAAAAAAAAAAAAAAAGTAAAAAAAGTAGAAAAAAAATTGTTCAGTGTTGTGTAGATGTTGTAACTGTAATTGTCCGTCTTGTCGTGTAATGTATATGTTTGTCCTTGTATTTGTGTTCCTCTCACAGTAGTCCTACCTTGTCGTGGTTGAGAGGCTTGAGTGCCTTAATGACCCTGAGAGCTTTCCCAGCTCTATTGCTGGACAGTTTTCAGAGGGAAGAGGCCAGACTAAAGGGACTACCTCATCGTCTTAACAAGTTAAAGGCATTTGCAGGTCCGATTTGACCATGGACAAACTTAGAAAAAATTTGAAATTTTGACCCAAAATCATAGGCTAACCCCTTTGGAAAAAATCCAAGATGGCCGCCATCGAAATTTGAAATCTCCATATATGGTCAAAAAGACCTTGTACGCACTCTACGCCATCACCAAACATCATTTCCAGGTCCGATTTGACCATGGACAAGCTTAGAAGAAATTTGAAATTTTGACCCAAAATCATAGGCTAACCCCTTTGGAAAAAATCCAAGATGGCCGCCATCGAAATTTGAAATCTCCATATATGGTCAAAAAGAACCCTTGTACGCACTCTACACCATCACCAAACATCATTTGCAGGTCCGATTTGAGTGTTTCTCTCTCAAAGTAGTCCTTTCTTGTAGTGTTTGAAAGAAATGTGTCCCCTTCTTGTAAGACGCATGCGCAAAACATTACAACTAGTCCACAAGATAGAGGAATGCAAAATGAGTCATCTGGCAAAGTTTCATCTTATTCGCCCACAATTTCTCAGTTCTAAAGGAAAATAACCTTCCTGTATAAATTATGCAAATTAGCGGAAGGGCATTGTAACACATAAGGTGGGCAATGAAGCAATGGTGGGCGATGTAACATTGATTAGGTGGGCCATGTAACACTAAGAGTGGGCCATGTCACACTAAGAGTGGGCCATGTAACACTAGTGGGCCATGTAACACATGTTAGGTGGGCAAAGTAGCCCAAATGTGGGCGATGTAACGCAGGAACCTAACCCTAACCCTAACCCTAACCCTAACCCTCATTAGGTCCATTTACGGCAATTTCCCGACAGATTTATTTTAAAAACTTTAAAAATTTGTAAAAAATTAGGCTTTTAATCAATCACTTTGATTTTTACACAACTTGTAGTCATTGATAATATGCATCGATGGTGAAAATTTCTTGGTATTTGATTGACAGGTTTTTGAGTTATGGATGTCCAATGTGTCATTGACGGGAAACCACCAATGTTTGGGAGAATCGAGGAAGAAAAAGGGGTCTGGAGCCCAAACCTTGGCGATCGGTGTTAGATTAGACCCTGATTTTATCATTTCAAGACCCCTGCTAAACCCCTAAATCGAGCAGACCATAATTTTCAAACTTTCAAAATTTTCAAGTTTGAGTCATATCTAGTGACTCTATTTTGGCTCAAAAGAGAGACATGGTCTGATTTTTTGACCCTCTATGACTTGTTTGCATCATAACTCCCTCAAAAATAGGGGTTAAGACCTGAAAAAATTCACGGTGATAGAAGACAGATGTGGCCATCAATCTGGTAAGTTTGATGATTTTTGAGCAAAAATTGAGCTGCTGACGAATTTTTAAGTATGAAAAATAGGTGTTTTTTCGGCGTCGGGAAATCACTGGAGCTGTTTTTTTGTGGAGTTAAGCAGGATAATTTTTTTCAAAAGCCGAAAAAAGGGAAACATATTGTAAATCTATGCCTTACGCATAATCTGACATACTTTTTGGTTCTAAACCCGGCACTGCGCCTCCGCAAGCCAACCATAAAGACGCAAATTGTCAGGAGATCACCATTTTTGGACTTTTTTGACCAATCTTATAAAAATAATCGTAACTTGAAGGCACTTACA